TAATTAAAACTATTTTATGTATACTATTCACTATATCTTTCCATATCCTTTTATCTTTGCAAACCCCCTCAATTCTGTGACATTCATACATCCTTTTATAATTGCTTTTTGTTTTTCTCATCTCTTTTCTCATCAACCCCATCTGACTATGACTCTCTTGTCCTTCCCCTTCCTTTCAACCTATTCACTTTTCCTTCATATATTCATTTTGCAATCTGATCTTCATTCATTCTATATGACCAAACCAACTCAATGTTTTTCCTTTCCACTGGTGGTTCATGATTGCATACAATCCACATTCATTTATCATTAGTTTAGGGTTTTTGCCCTGTGGTTTTACTATACACTTAAGTTCACGCAGTCACTCACTTAATGACCATTCATTCAGCAACAATTTGAAGATACAACAACACAGAACAAATGGTAGTTACTGTATGCCTGTCCTTGAAGTTACAAACATGGTTGCACCTTCCTAGTTGCATAGTCAAAATCTGGGTGCTTGGCAGTCTGCCTGCATTTATGAGCACAGCATGTGCTTCAACTCATGTGGCCTTGTGAAGGGTATTGGGCACATCTTGTCAGCAGTGAAAGAAGACAATAAGATCAGCTGTGGCCAGCAAAGATAGTAGATGGGGGTAGAAGAGGGGAGCAAAGGAGCCGAAAGGGAATAGATGGGAAGGAGATAAATGGATAGGGGAAGCTGAAATGAGCATGCAGGGCAGGAGAAACATGAAGTCCTTGCTAAATGACTGTTGGTCCTCATCTAACAACCACAACCGGGACTCCTGGAACTGCTGTCACTGCATGATGCAGTCACATTATGCTTCGCCTAACAAATGCTTTGCTTACTAATGGAAATTTTGTTCCTGATTAGAGTTGTTAAACGAGGACTACTTATACCCCATTCATTTTTTTTAGCATTCCTAGCTCTTTCTTCCATATAACGAAGTGATAGAAGCATGTTTTTCTTCAGGGTTTTTTTCCTTCTTTCAGCAAACATCCATTCACAATGGATCATATATTGGCCACAGCCTTTCTCCTAGGATTTTCACAGCCGTTCTCCACCCATTTTCTCATCCTTAGGATACATTCCATCAATGTACAGAATTCATATTTGCTCTAGCTTTCCATCATCTATGTAAAATTTGTAAGTTTTCAGTCTGTTTTCCTCTCAAATGCAACTACTACTATACATGCATTCATTTTGATGAAGGAACATGATTGTCCTAACAGGTTAACCAGTTTGAACTGGTTTGGGAGAAATAGAATCATGCTACCTCTGGAGTAATGTGAACTTGATCCAAATGTAAACAAATATGTGCAGTTAATAGAGTTGAGGCTTGTCAGTTGTGGCACCTAAGTGAGAAATAAGTTTCCTTGTTTGAACCATTTAGGGCAGGGGTATCAAGCTCGTGTCTTCACAGCAGCGTCACGTGGCATATCACAACTTTTTCCCCCTTTGCTAAACTGGATGTGGGCGTAGCCAGGGTGTGACGCATCCTACTTGTGGGCCCTAAGTTTCACAGCCCTGTATTAGGGGATTTTATTCTGGCAGATTTTTTTTTTTTCATTTAGAATCTCTGATATTTTTATTTTGCTCATGGACATTGTAATGTTTTCCAGTTGAAAGAAAGCAACAAGGGAAGAAGATTAATGAATCACCTGGAGCAAGGGATCCTATCAACTACAGCAGTGGTGGGATTCAAAAATATTTACTACCAGTTCTGTGGGCGTGGCTTGGTTTGGTGGT